AACCTCACCGGTCACACTTGTATCAAGAGTGAGTTTGCAAAGCTCTGGGTTTTTAATCATAGTCATTAATTTGGAACTTGTGTCCTTTCTTGGGCGTTTGCCCTTAGCCAAGTTGGCGCTAGAGAAGGCCTCGAAGTCAGCCGCCGGCGTCCCCGACGACGAGGACGCCATAGCGACTTTAGTAATTTTTGCTGCCGTGCGCGGCAGGCTTTCACTTTATGTTACCGCAGCACTAATTCACAAAAGTTTCACAGCTTATACTAAAAGCAAAATCACTCACCTGAAGTCCTTATCCCGTTAAAAAATTTGGTGTATAAAATCCAGAAAATTGTTTGAAAAGATTTGTAATAGCGCCCAAAGCGACGCACAAGCGTTCAAATACGATTAGCTGTAATATTTTACAGCTATGAAGTCCTCACAAAAGTTAAAATTGGTACAGCACATGCACATGTGCCAAAGCGCCGAAAAAAAGCTCCTCAAGTTATAGTTTGCGCAGAACACGTCCACCACCACTCGAAGTTGAAAAGGGAATGTCAAAGACTTATAACAAACAATGTCTTGCAGCGGTCACTTATAAAGAGTGCAAGATACTGTCGCTTGAATGTCATTAATGATCACTGCATGACTAAGTCATGCAGATGACATCAACGACGAAATTACCATTAGTTGCGTTCCAACTGCTTCACGATTTGCAGGTTTTTACAGGAAGTCGTTCCAGGTGACCACCTCCCATAAGGTTTATTTATGGGGACAATGTCTTGCAGCGGTCACTTATAAAAAGCCCATTGCAAGATACTGTCGCTTGAATGTCATTAATGATCACTGCATGACCAAGTCATGCAGATGACATCAGCGACGAAATTACCATTTATATAAAAAAGTCATGAACGACTTCCATACAAACGGAGCCCAAAGTCATTTAAGACGTAACTTTTCCGTACAAGACTTTTAAGTGACTAACGCATGGCATTCGCTACGGCGTTGTTATGCATACATCATACATACATATGTATATGTAAGTAATGCAAGCAAATGCTTTTTGTTGGAAGGAATGTAGGAATAAGCACAAATGCGTTTATTTATTATATGTATCTAATAATTGGAACTTAGGGCCAGTTTTTCAGTGCACGGCCGTGGTTTAAACCATGATTCAATAATACAAGGTTAGATAATTATTGACAGCCGCGGTTTGACACTCCTTTACAAAAGGTTGCATTTACGAAGGACGGAGAAAGACGAAGAATGAAGTCCCTTGGTGCGTATTAGTAGAAAAGTACTCAAAGTAGGCAATTAGTAGTGAAATTCCTTTTGTAAATTCCAATGTATTTGCAGGAAATCTGGCATTTTAAACGAAATATTGAACGTAATATTACAAAATATACGTGAATTACGTAATTTATGTGCTACTTAGCTGTATAAAAACTGCAAGGGCTCAAAATTAATATACAACTACTGCGACTTTTATGTAGACATCCATTATGAAAAAAGTTTATGTTTTCATCAGTTAAATGTGCTCCATATGTATATACAAATAAACATATTGCACAAAAGCTTATACTTCTATTTCACACCAAAGCTTCACTTTTTCCAAGTAAAGTTGCAAAGAAGCAACACGGTGCCACTGCTAAGGGAGCGGTGCGAGAGAGACAACTGTCAGTTTATCGAACCTTGTATTATTGAATCATGGTTTAAACTAAAGAGCGAAATACACCACACAAGCGGCTTGTCAAACATTCTTCAAACCTACTTTTCCCATTTCGCCATACACCATGCAAACATGACTCGTTCAAGCAAAGAATTTTAGTTTTCTTCCAGTTCGCAATGCTAAATATTATGGTTTTCTTTCATTTTCCTCTCTTACGTCCTTACTCGGTGAAAATTTCGTTGCAAATGAGGCGATTTTGCTATACACAACGCAAGCGGTTTGATCAAACATCAACATGGCGGCCAGAAAATCAAAAAATTCTGATTTTTGCTTAAATTTCCCTCAAGCGGTTTGTCAAACCTTCAAACACCCCCTAACACAGCACAAATGGCTTGAAGCAAAGGGAAATTTCGCTTGGTTTGTCAAACCGCTTGTGTGGTGTATTTCGCTCTTAAGTTTAAACGCCCGATCTGGCTGGTTTAAACTACGATCAGCCAATCAAATGTCAGCCAGCTGTTCAATTTAAACTCAGTTTACATAATCCAAGTTTAAACTGGCACTGAAAAACTGGTCCTTAGTGGGTATAAGATTAACTAATGTGAAAAGTGCGCGTCTGGTGAAGACTGAGAGTAAAGAAAAGCAGAAAAAACAATATAATTTTTTTTTAATGTTTTGATTCGCCATTATAAGGCTATTAATAAGAAACAAAAAATATACACACGTTAATAGAATAAGCATATGTATGTATGTATGTATTATGGCTGGTTTTCATTAGGTCAAAATCACTGATCACAAATGTCGATATCGCAGTGCATGTCAAAGACTGTCGTCAAATTTCGGTCTCAGATGATTGACATTCCGTTTTCATTACTGATGTCAAATGTAGAAGATATAGTAGGTTAAGTTAAATTGTTCGATATTTTGAAATATCAATATCTTATGAACTACATAACCGATTAAACAACTAATGATGTCAAAATAAAGATGATTAGTTTATCTTTCAGTGATGTACATAATTTTTCTGATTTTTTTTATATTTTTGAGTCAGAAATACAAAAAAACAAAAAAAAAATTGTTTTCATTAAATTACCTTTTTTGAAGAAAATTGCATTAATGCTACAGAAATTTATATTATTTAGAAAGTACAAATTATTACCGTATATAGAAAGGTTTGTTATAGGGCAAAATTTAATAAAAGTAGTGGGAAAAATCGAAATAGTATATATATTTTTTTATCGTTTACCAAAAATTTGCTTTAAAAAAGTTTTGGTAAATACGCCGTAAAAAAGCTATTAAAATTATCTTTGAATTGGATTCAATACTTTTCTAATCGGTCAAGTCGTTTCCGAGATATTTAACATATAAGAAATAGGAAAGTTGAAGTTTAACCTGTTATATTTTCTTTATTTTTTACTTGCCCCAAATAATTTGGTAATGGTTGAAATCAGCATGAAAAGTTCTATCGATCTGCATTTGATTAGCCGTATCAGTTGCGGCACCGAGATAAGCGATTTAGAAGAAAAATTGTGGGGGCCAAAGTTGTAGGAAATTTGATTTTCACAAGTCTGACCTTACTTATTTATGCCGTAGATTTGAAAATGAACGAGATATAATGCAATATTTTGAGATTACCGCTTGTTTCAAGTTTATTTCGAAAACTATCAATCTTAGAACGACCAAACTTGTATAGAATTGAATTTCCTACAACTTTTGTTTTTGTGATTTTTCTTAAAAATTAAAAATGGCCAACCATTTTTTTCGAAAAAAAAATTCGCACGTGCGCAATCGCTAGATTTGGTTGCCACTTGCCATTTACACGGAGACTGATCCCCCCGAGGGCAAAAGATCCAGAAAAATTATTCGAGAATTAATTTTTGTGAGGTCTAAAGTGTATGACTGGAAAATGCAGCAGTGGTTTTTCCTACATAGAATTTGATGCTCTTTCAGATGAGCATTGATTTTTTGAGGACCTCGATGATACTCGGATCCTACAGGCGAGGCGTCGCTTATCTCGCTGCAGCAACTGATACGGCTAATCAGGGGGGCTTGCAGCACTACCTATTCGTATTGCCCAATCCCTCCCCTGTCGCGAGGAACAATCAAAATACGGGACTCCTGACATACTCGAATCCCCAAAAAAAAATTTTATTTATTTATTTGTTTTCTGGGCCCTGACTGGCCTTAGGCGAGGTAGCAGGCCCATTTCGTGTTCCCTCATGTATGAAGTCACCAAATATATACATGGCCTCTGGGACCCCTACTCTACTCGGCTTAGTTTGATGTGCTCTTGGACTATTAGTATGCTTTAGAAATATTTACGGAAATAAAGCACATGATTTCGTTCGTTTTTGAGTTGTAGCAGGTAGGGATTTTTTCTTCAGTTGGGATTTCCCTGAACACCAGATACATATTTCGTAAATACGGACGTTCTTCATAAAATTTTATTTTGTAGGAGTTTTTTGTGTGCACCTAAATAAGTGAGATAAACGATGCGTGTGGTCCATTCGCGATCACTCACAATAAGTTATCCTGAAAACTTTTTAGGTCGTTGTATGGAAGATGTTTTTTCGCGTTTCCGAGGAATACACGTACAAAATTGTCAAAAAAATCGTTATCGAATCTATTGATACCAAAATTAAATTTTGATATTCTCCACTTCTCAAAATTGGAAATTGAAGAAAACAAATATATAAAATATGGTAATGTAATAATTTGCTTCATTTTTATATACATATCTGGAATAGTAGCTTATGTCAAGGGCCGGCTTTAGTATAATGCGGCATGCGCAGCATACGATTTATGTTTTCCAAAAAAAAAAATCAAAAAGGCTGCTCTGTAATAAGATTGGAAAGAGAAATGCGATGCAATTACCACTGTTTTACATTAGTGGAAGGCTTTTCTATTACTTCTACCACTGACGACAATGCATATATGTAGATATAGATTATAGCGTAATTCCCCGGAAAAGCGAAAAAACATCTTCCATACAACGCTCTAAAAAGTTTTCAGGATAAGCTGTTGTGAGTGAGGACGAATGGAGCACTTGCATCATTTAAATATGTAGGTGCACACCCAACACTTTTACAAAATAAAATTTTATGAAGAACGTACGTATCTACGAAATATCTGCAGTTCAGGATAATGCCAACTAAACCACATAACTCCGCACTTAGACAATTGCAGTTTGAGGAAAAAATCACTACCTGCTACAACTCTACAACGAACGAAGTCATGTGCTCTATTTCCGTAAAATTTCTAAAGCATACTAACTATTAGTGGAAAATAAACAAATCCTGAAATTTTCACTTTTACTACATAATTTTATTACGCTATAAAACTGCACAGCTGGAATTTTTCTAAAAATTACGAACAAAAAGTTTAGAATTTTTGGGTGTAACTGTTGTTGAAATTTCTAATTTTTGTACGAAGTTTAAAATGTGGATTAATGTGGTTCTGGTTATTTAATATGCTAGAATTTTATAAAAAAACTATGAACATTAAATAAACAAAAGAAAAAACCAAAACTGGTCAACATCTCACTTAACTTGATCATCTGACCACAATGGCATATAGGCAATGGGCGAGTCCGCGCTTCCGCCTTTCTCCCCTGCGTCCACCTAAACAAACAAATTAAGCTTAGCAGCCCTGTAAACCTACCTCTGACAACTGACCCACACATAGCTGTCACGGGTGGGGCCTACCTCTCTGTTGAATTATTCTTATCTAACTACGTGGAAACGACAATGCAATTGTGGTAAATATTTGCAATGAATTTCTAACATTATGTAACAAACCTGAAACACAACTGCAACTTCTGTAATTGAATATAACTTTTACCTTTTTTTTGTCACGGGTGGGACAAGACCAATACTACAATTATTTTAGAACCACAAATCACGCACTTGTAACTGAAATATCCATGGTACTGCATGTGCCTATTTAAAATACGTTTGTGGATGAAAGATTTTCCACAAAGGTGACACACAAATGGCGATTGTCCAGAATGAGTGCGTAAATGAACATCTAGGTCTATTTGCCACACATAACGTTTTTGACAAACTTGGCATTCTATCGAAGCTCCCTTGTGATGGAGCTCGTGGATTGTTAGACCATTTTTATGAAGAAATGATTTTTCACACTGAGCACATTGATATATTGGTTTGCGGTTGGTTTCGTGCGTTAGCCTGTGTTTTTTGTATGTATACGGAGTTAAAAAGCTTTGGTTACAGATGTCGCACGGAAATCTTTCCCGATTCTCATTGTGACAGAGCTCATGATTTTTTAGGGCACATGACTCCTTAAATGTGTTTGCTGGCGAAGGTAAATTCAACAAAGATAGAAATTAGTCCCCAAGTTAAAAGGAACGGAAATACTTACGGCAGGCCTGACAAAGAAAAGTTTTTGGTTTATGACGTTGCTTATGTTTTTTTAATGAGCTTCTCTTCATTATTTTCCCACATTCTTCACACTTCACCGGCTCAGACAAATCCGACAAATCGATTTCTTCGGTAGATATAGTGATGTTCCGATATCAGTGAAAACTATCTCCTGAAATTGAATAAAAATAAATTAAAATGTACTTTAATAAATTTAAGGAAAAATATTGTTATAAACTTACAAATTGGTCATAGGCAAAATATTGTTTCTTTTGTTTACTTTTTACCGCTCTTCTTCTGCCATTGTTTACTATTCACGGTGCATTATCAAACGTCAAAATTACTGGCCTACTACTATTTCAAGCAGAAGAAAGAACACGAACATTTGAGGTGTTCACAGTTCGTTCCAAATTTTGCCTGAAAATGTAGACGTCTACATTTTGAGACATCTTTAGCATCAAACAGTGAGCACCCCTTTCTAGCAGTCGTCGCAAAATCGTCTCAAAACTTTGCTGGTGTTGCCAGACATTTCTTCTTTGCGTGCTTTTTTATATGTCGCCTTTCGATTTTGTTTCTGAAAAATTGTAATTATTCAACTTAATTACCAATTCCTAATATTTGTTATTTCTTTTCCTTGATTTGTTCTTTTTCATCAGAAATCGCGCTCAAATTAAATGCAAATACAGAAAACGTGCCCAATAAATAAAAAAAATGCGATTAGTATTGCCATAATGCAACCCTGCTGCGAGGTTGCAAAATGTAGACGCGTAAAAAACATACCTTTGAGTGTGACAAAATGTAGACGGCGTCGTTTTCCAATTTTGTATGGGAAACAACAACACCACAGATTTTATGGTTAGAAAACGTCTTAAAATGTAGACGTCTACATTTTGAGACACTATTTGGAACGAACTGTGAACACCCCAATTTTCTTGTGCATTTTCTTAAGAGCTGGATACTAAAGCCCTGTATGCAGCTCTCAAGAAAACGGTCAAGAAAAAATTGCCATTATTTCGTGTGTGTGTCCAAGGAATTTTGACATTTTTGATACTTCACAGCCTGTTGCCTCACTCTTTCCTCAAGAAATAATGGAACGGGCATATATTTCTGTTGCAAACCTGGGTTGCCTTGTGCTCTTTTTCTTGAGAGCTGCATACAGGGCTTTAATAATAACTCATAATATAGATAAAGCACTCACAAAATTTAATACATAATACAATTTCATTAAACGCAGATAAGTTCTACTACATATTTCTACCAAACACTTGAATTATGAATCGCAAATTATTTGACAGTACTTTCAACACAACCTACTTTAAACCTACTAAAGAAATTTATTTATAACTAGATTTTAAAACGTAAAAAAGGTTAATTGGTTAATTCAAGATTTGTACACATGTCTTATCCACACATTTGTTAGATTTATCAAGACAAAATTTTGTGCTATAAGGCTCAGTTTCCCATGGAACCTCCCATATACATACATACTTCAGGCTAAAAAGGCTCACAAGTAAATTTTTTCGTCTTTCCACGGTTTATTACTTGATTATTGCTGCCAAAGTTTTGCGCATTCTGCGTGATTCTGCGCTACTATTCAGTAAATAACTATGCACTTATACAAGAACGATAGAATACAAGATTGCGCATTCCCGCAGAATGACATTTGTGGCAACGGGTAAACAAAGAATATGGCGCAGAACAATGATTTGAAAGTTGTGAATTTGCAGTGAGAAAACGAGTTTTCTTCACGATTCACCGATTCCTCAAGCCATCTTTGAATATGGCAAATTAAGCACAACGTTAACAAAAAATATACAACCACTCTTGAAATGTGTTCAAAAGAATAGGTCTTATTAATTAACTATTTAGAATTTTTGTGTTTGTATTGCAGGTGCCGAAAAAGTGATAATATCTTGTCACAGCGCATGTCTTCCTGTAGAAAGTGGTCTAAATTGTATGGCTTCTCCTGCCGGCAGAACTCTACCCACTTTCTGGCCAAGGCGTCGTCGCGGCTGCTGCAATTCAACACACGACACGACATTTTTATAAAGTTTTTATTACAAATAAAACGTTTTTTACTTAAGAACGCACGAATTACTTCGATTTTTCACTTGAAAGTACACAATACGTTTGCACTTGTTTATAAATAAAAAGTTTGTTTACGTATTGCCATAAACGTCAAAGTCGGCAAAACCAAAGTAGCGGTTTCGGGAATGCGCCACCTTCAGTTCATTACATCATGTTATATACATATGTGTGCATGGATATGAAATGCAGACCTTCGTTTTATTGAGTCATGATTAAGGGCCGCTTACTCAATGTCTGGTTAACACTAATCTCCGGTAAAACCTCGTTATCGACGTTACCGACTCCGTGTTATATGCATGGAGCCGAACACGTCGATAATGATGTTTAAACGGAGATTAGTGTTAACCACATATTGAGTAAACGGCCCTCAATAATACAAGGTTCGATAAACTGACAGTTGTCTCTCTCGCACCGCTCCCTTAGCAGTAGCACCGTGTTGCTTCTTTGCAAATTTACTTGGAAAAGTGTAGCTTTGGTGTTAAATAGAAGTATAAGCTTTTATGCAATATTTTCATTTGTAAATGCATATGAAGCACATTTAACTGATGAAAACATAAATTGTTTTTAAATTGGATGTTTACATAAATCTCATAGTAGTTTTATTTTAATTTTGAGTCTTTTTGCAGTTTTTATACAGCTAAATAGCACATAAATTACATAATTCACGTAGATATATTAATATTTCGTTCAATATTTCGTTTAAAATGCCGGATTTCCTGGAAATACATTAAAATTTACAAAAGGAATTTCACTACTAATTGCCTACTTTGCGTACTTTTCTACTATCATTTTAGCAACAAGGGATTGCATTCTTCCCCTTTCTTGCTCCTTCGTAAATGCAACCTTTTGTTAGGTAGTGTCAAACCGCGTGTATTATTGAATCATGCATTAATGATGCATGATAATTGTGCACAAGTGCGCTTGGGTATAACAAAACAGAAATAGCAAACTTCAAAATTACGAACGTCACACACTTTTTCTCAAATGCTATTGCAAATTGCTGCTTCTCAACCGTTCAGATCTGTTCTGATTGGTTCATGTTCGGATTCATAAAAACATCGACAAATATCGATGTTTGAAGCCACGACCATCGATGTACCTCGATACATCGATATAGCTCGATACAGCGACGTAGCTCGATACATCGATGTTTTTTTATATTCTTATAATATAGCTAGGGACACGATATCGAACAGAAAGTATCGATATGGTACTCATTTAAAGTATCGCTTTAAAAATATCGGGTACCCATTAATATCGGAATGAAAATACTCGATATTCCAAATATCGATACCAAAATCCAAAAAATTTATATGAATATAGGCCGCTGTGGTGCAATGATTAGAAGTGCTCAAAACTTAAAAATAAAAAACAACTCCCCATTAAAACAAAATCGCCGTTCAAAGTCGACATAAAACTGTAGGGACCCCTTTTGTGCCACAATATTAATAGCCCGAACACAATGAAAACGACGAGCTATGGACCATAGTTGTCAAATTATTTTAACACGTACTCTTATGTAGATAATTATTTTGGCGACGACCGAGCTACGCAACGACTGTGGTTGTGGCCAGATTAGATCTATTTCTATCTTTCCAGCGACAGTTAAGGATCTTCCTCTTCTTTTATGTCAAACTCGTACAAATTCATGATGTCGCCGACGCATTCAAAGAAATCATGTCGCCTTCGACAAAGCGTTTAGACAATAAAGATAACAAATTGGGAGCTGTGGCCCGTAGCTCGTCGTTTTTAATGTGTTCAGAACTTAAGGCGCACTTGACAAATCGGAGGAAAATCTCGGTCAAACACTAACATATTGTGTAACAACACGTAGATTGAGGTGTTGGCTTAAAACACCGAGTTCGCGGGTTCAAATTCCACCACATACAATCCTAACCAGGGACGTGAACCGGTTTTGAACCGCAAAACCGCTCTTTTCTATTAATTAACTGAACCATTAACCGAACCGAAATTTTCCACAAATGTTTGATCCGAACCGAAAACCGAACCACTTTCTATAAAGATTTAAAGGTTCGTTTCAACCAATTTTCAATAGATAAATGTACCCACTTTTTTCTTTTTGGTAAACATGGTAATACCCATCATGTTTGTTTACCATGTGACAATATGAAATGTGAAGGCAACCCATCTCATTTGACAGACACTTGACTCTTAGCTTTGCGCGTTGTTGCACTTGACACTTGACACTTAAACTTGTTTGGTTTTTCGAACCGTTGAACCGAACCGAAACCCCGGTTCAAAGACCAAAAAAACCGCTTTGACAAACCAATCCAAAAGTGCAAAAACGGTTCGAACCGCTGAACCGAACCAAACAAATTTTTCATCCGGTTCACGTCCCTGATCCTAACTATATTACACATTTCTGCTCTTAAAAGCCCAATTTATATCGGGAAGAATTGTTAATAACATTAGCCTTGTAATGTGAGTTTATGACATTCGATACGATACTAGGGTTCTGGTACTCGATTCCAAAAAATATCGTTTTAAAACTATCGAGTAGAAAATATCGGTATCGAATGCCAAAAGTATCGATATGGTATCGTATCGTATCGAAATTCGTGTACCTAAATATAGCCGCCTATTCGAAACAAAAATTGATAAAAATGGTAGATATGCGTTAAAATACTTTTATTTTTTCCAACTACTAAATTTAATTTGCAAAATTGCATTCCCAGCGACGAAGTATGGCTCCTAGCCAAAATCGGGAATTTAAATTACATCCATGTTGCGATTTTACACCACCCCTTCAAAACAAACGAAAACGTAGGTGTCCGGAGGAAAATTTGGTAAATAAAACTCGGAGTTCGCGCGTCGTGCCAATAAGTGAATATGAACAAGCAATTGCCAAGATACTTTCGCGGCCATTTAAAGTGCCTATCGCTGACTATGTGCCAGATTACAATGGTGGTAATCGATGCCTTGGGATGCGGCGCAGCAATGTACGAAAGGCATTGCACGATCCACATGCGTGCAATGCTTTGGTATTGCATATTCCTCCCAATTATACAGAACATCAACGCATTACATTGGATGCTAACAAAATACAAGTACATGTAGTAGTTGATCCACTACTAAGCAATATTCTGCGCCCACATCAGCGCGAAGGGGTTCGTTTCATGTACGAATGCGTCCAAGGGCTTCGTGGTGTATTCAATGGCTGTATTATGGCCGATGAAATGGGTTTAGGGAAGACTTTACAATGTGTAACACTAGTATGGACGCTACTTCGACAGAGTCCTGACTGCAAGCCGACCATTTCAAAGGTTATCGTAGTGTCACCATCATCATTGGTCAAAAACTGGGAAAAAGAGTTCACTAAATGGTTGCATGGGCGCTTACATTGTCTTGCTATTGAAGGTGGCGCAAAAGAAGACACAATTCGTGCACTGGAACAGTTTGTGGTGGATAGCGGACAACGCTGTGGTGCCCCAGTACTATTGATCAGCTATGAAACCTTTCGCATTTATGCAAATATTCTATGTCGTAATGAAATGGGCATGGTTATCTGTGATGAAGGTCACCGCTTGAAAAATAGTGATAATCTGACATATCAAGCTCTTATGGGGTTGAAGACAAAGCGACGAATTTTACTCTCTGGCACACCAATACAGAACGATCTAACTGAATACTTTAGTTTAGTAAACTTCGTAAATCCGGAAATGTTGGGCTCAGCGACGGACTTCAAGCGAAATTTTGAAAATGCTATACTACGTGGCCAAAACGCAGATTCTACAGATAAAGAACGCGAGCGAGCAGTAGAGAAAACACAGGAGCTAATAGGTCTTGTGAATCAATGCATCATACGCCGCACGAATCAGATATTAACAAAATATTTGCCTGTTAAGTTTGAAATGGTAATATGTGCGAAACTTACTCAAATGCAAATGGATTTGTATAGAAACTTCATAAAATCAGATAAAATACGAAGAAGTCTTACAGGTAAGTTCAGGAAAGGTATTCAAATTATTTTTATCTTTCAAATAAAACTACAAATAGCAACTTTTTTTTTATTTTTATCTCCTCCACTGCAGATTGCAATGAAAAGACCTCTCTAACTGCTCTTGCCAACATCACGACGATGAAAAAACTGTGTAGTCACCCAGATCTAATTTACGAAAAGGTTTTGGCACGCGAGAATGGTTTCGAAAACTCTCAAGATTTCTTTCCTGCAAACTATAATCCAAAGTAAGTATTAACCTTAAGTGTACAATAAAATAGACTACAATATCAAATTTCATTTCATTTTTAATGAGACATGTAAGTTCAAAAATGCTCTTATATTATGTCCAACACTTATACATATTTATCTTTAGGGAGTTTAATCCAGAATTGAGTGGTAAATTTATGCTCCTGGACTTCATGCTAGCGTCTATACGCACAAACAGTGACGATAAGGTAGTCCTTATTTCGAACTATACACAAACACTAGAGTTATTCGAAAAACTTGCGCGTAAAAGGTATAATCTTGCAGTAAATATATTTAAGTCTTGAGTATATAATATATCCTTTGATTATCATTAACAGAAGGTACACCTACGTTCGGCTTGATGGTTCCATGACCATCAAGAAACGCAGCAAAGTTGTGGATAAGTTCAACGATCCGCTATCCGATTGTTTTCTCTTTATGTTGAGTTCCAAGGCTGGTGGCTGTGGTTTGAATTTAATTGGCGCGAACCGTCTTTTCATGTTCGATCCAGATTGGAATCCGGCAAATGATGAGCAGGCAATGGCTCGAGTTTGGCGGGATGGACAAAGGAAACCATGTTACATATATCGTTTGGTTGCTGTTAGTAGAGTTATACAGCCTCATTGCGAGAGTCGTGTCGAATGCAAGTCGAAGTCATTTTTCGAGATTCGAATAGTACCGAAAATTTCATGGCATTGCCTAAAATTTCGACTAGACTAGTGCATTAAAGCCGAAAAAATTGGCTTCGCTGCACGACAGTAAACAATGCCAATTACGTTAGCGTAATTAACGACTTACGCATTGGGGCTGATTAGTAGTATGCTGAGCTGGGTAATTTATGATTACGATTAGATTTTAATTACGATTGCTTAATTGTAATCCTTAAATTACATTCGACTACGATTATTTAAATTGTAATCATATATGTTACCATTACGATTATAAAATTTTAGGACAAAGATTGCTGTAATCGTAATTATGAAATACATGATTATGAATATTGTAATTGTAATCCTAAAAATTACAGTAATTGTAATCATCAATATTACGATTACGAACACTAATTGTAATCCTAAAAATATCATTACAATTAATGTAATCGTAATCAAGAAAATGTTGATTGCGATTTACTAATATATTGTAAAGGTTTAGTAGTTAAGTAAATTAGCGTAGCTTTGACCGAAAAGTATATAAAATTGAAGAAGGTAATCAATACCAAACTTTATTGCAAATACTGCGACTAATCTGTGTAGAATATTACAATTCCAAACAAATAACCGAATTCGTAACTGAAAACCATTTTGGTGAATAAAAATCCATATTTGGTCCAAAGAAAATTAATTTCTCGATAACTGTAATCGTATCATTAATGAATACGATTGCGACTACTTTAATTGTTCTCCTAAAAATTTTAACGATTACGACTACTGTAATCCTAATCCTAATTTTCATTATAACAATTACGGTAATTGTAATCTTAAAAAAAAAGCACGCTTACGATTACAGTAGTCGTAAGCACAAAATTTTAAGGATTACAATTAAAGTATTCGCAATAAAGCATGTTATAATTAAAATTACAGTAATTAATACTGAAAATTTTCGTGATAACAATTACAGTTATCGTAATCAAAATGTAATCGTAATCATAAAGTGCCCAGCTCTTCTAGTATGTAATAACTATTCAAAAATATCTATGATTTAAACATTTTCAGACAGGCTCGATTGAAGAAAAAATACTACAACGACAAACTCACAAAAAATCACTGTCAAGCACTATAATCGATCATAATAAGAGTGACGAAAAGCATTTCACACGTGACGATCTGAAAGACCTATTCCGATATGAAGAAGATATCCTTTCCGACACGCATATAAAGTAAACAAAACTTACACTTTTAACATATTCATTTGTTCGTTATTACTTTTATTGAACTATTCAATGTAGATTAAAATGCAAACGCTGCGTAAATAACATACAAATGCAACCACCTCCTGAGGATAGTGATTGTACATCTCATTTGTCGCAATGGTATCATTGCTCGAACAATAAAGGACTGTCGGACAGTACATTATCGCAGGCATGGCTAACAAGTAAATGTGTTTCTTTCGTTTTCCACCATCGATCGCAAATTGAGGTACAGCCAAAGGAGGAATCTACAGATAAAGAAAGTATGCAGGTCGATTGTGGTAAGGAAAATATGAATAAAAAACATAGTAAGTGCAAAAAGGATGTGGATGACGACTACTCCGATTATGAACCAGATGATCCAGCTGATAGTGATTATGAGTAGATTTATGACGCGTGTATTTTGCTGCCCTATTAGAAATGGTTACTATAAGTAGTACAAATCCATAGTTCATAAACACTTGTATATCGTTACCTTAATATACATAGAAAAGCCCTATCTCACATCGTCGCTGAAATACAAAACGCAGTTTGATTGATTGTGATACTTTAATAATTCGCGCAACACTGCTCGAACAAGGCCTTAGTTATGGCTTTTTGCATATCAGCGACGATGTGGGTATACTAAGGTAACGATATGTACATGTTCTGAACAGTTAAAACGTTCGCAAAGTTATATGTAAAGCCGAATTTCATTTTAATATAATTTAGGCAGGTACTGCAATTCACTCCGGAGTGAATTTCAACCAAAGTCACTTTGAATTCAAATGAATGGGAGGTGAATTGCAGAACCTACTTCATTAAACATATACAAATAATGAGGTAAGAATGATAGAATACAAGATTGCGCCGTCCTGGCGGCGACGACATTTTTCAAGTAAAAGTAAACAAAGCCGAATAGGAGGATAGAACAAACTGTTAGAAGAGTAAATTTTCTTATATTCAAATTTTCGATAGAAAACGTGGTTTAATTGTGTTAAATTGTAAAGATATATCATTTATAAAAATAAAAATGGTAAAAAACGGCGGTTTTAGTGAAAATATTAAGGCCCCGCCAGATAGAAATTCTTTTCTGCGTCTTATATTCAAATTTTCGATAGAAAACGTGGTTTAATTGTGTTAAATTGTAGACATATGATTTATAAAATTAAAAAATAAAAATGGTAGAAAACGGCGATTTTTGTGAAAATATTAAGGCCCCGCCAGATAGAAAACCTTTTCTGCGTCACAGGGATGCTTTTAACTAACATCCAAGTTAACTCTGTGATTTTGAATAGAAGACGCCACATTGGGAAGACGTGCATTGCCGCAACTGATAAAATTCGTCATATGCGGCAAAACAACAACAACAACAAAAATGTATGGAACGGATGATTTTTGACCAATCAAATTTAGTCAAAGCATCTCTCTGGCACAGAAAACACTTTTTATCTGGCGGGGCCTTTAGTGAATTTCAATGCATTTAAAATTTCTGAGGCGATGTTTACTTTTACTTTTACTTGAATTGTCAAAATCGGCAAAACCAATGTAGCGGTACGTCTGATGGCTCTAACTTTGTTCTCTGCGTCGTGATAATAAGGTACACTTATTGTATATGTATGTAGGCCACCGATGTTTCCGAAATAAAAATTTCTGTTCAGATTACATAGCTTAATGCTAAAGCTGAAACATTTTGGAGGTCAACTGTAAATGCTGTAAATACTTAAAATGTATGCATGTATGTATATGTTTACATTTACATGTAATATAAGTCATATTTCACTTGTAGTTAAAATAATGTTACTCTTCAAAGAGTCTTTCAATGTTGCTGAATTTAATTTATCTTCTCTGTGTGTTTAATAAACAAGGAATTACAATTTTATAATTTTCTTAAAATATGCATATTATAATAAAAATTCATACGGTGTATATACATTATAATTGAACGAGTTGCTCTAATATAGTACTTAGTTTTAGTTTTAAAGCTATGCGTTGTAATGCGTATAAGCTCATAAGCGCTTGCCAACTGAGGTTTTAAGTAAATCATATATAGTTACTAGATTCAGTTACATGAAATCCATGTTTTCTTCAAGTTGTCAAACTACTTTTTCATTTTTTTTTTTGTTATAACATCGATGAAAAAAAAAATATCAAATCTTATCGGCGCGGTATCTCATGGTATCCCAGCACTCGCGGCAGTGATTTGCTAAACTTCCTGAATTTCATGCCAAACATTACTCTTTGCTGGTGGCTTATCTAATGGTGCTGTTGAAAGACTTTGACATTCGAGGAGGAATTGTTGAATACCTTGATAGTAGCTAAAAGGGAAAGAGTATTTGTAAGCGACCGTCTATAAACCGAATGGTAACGCATGGTGATTCATCGAAGGGCTCTCCCATATGTCGTTCTGGGAGTATTGATTGAATACCGTCACGTTTTCCTTGTGCGATGTGGCAAATGCAAGTCCTTTTGAAAAGTCTGTCAAACTCAAGAATTTCCAAAAAAGATTGCAGGAGCATACATATTGCGAGTGTCGACTGGCAGTAGAATAGAACTTTGTCGATCGAGTCGACAATCTTTCATTTCGCTATTGTGTAACTTGATCGACACAAATTTCTACTATTGTGAATGGTTGACTGAATTGTAAACAGCTGTTTGTTTTTTTACATTTGTTTATTTAGTGTTCCATTTACATCATTTTTAAAATAATTGCTTTTATTATAAAATTAAAAAAATGGATACAGTTAAAATATTGTTTAGTGATGAGGAAGATGATGTGGAAGTTAATCGTGAAGTATTTGGAACGCAACTTGTTGAAGAAAAAATACGGTACGGTTTAGTTATTTGTACAATGATGTTGGGTAATTGTGTCCAAACGTGTGATCCGATTTTAAAAACTTTATCATACACGTGTAGTGAAAGAATTAAACTTTAATTTAAAATAAAGATTTTAAATGGGAAATGTTTAATGTTTAGTAGCGCTCACATCGTTTTTGGGGTGGGGGCGGAGGGGGGAGGCCCCAAAGCACCCCACTAGAAAGGGGACAGTCCCTGGGGCTGAACAACTTTTGCAGAAAACACCTTCCTTCGGCCGCACTTAGGGATTATAACCCTCAGGCAGTAGAATTCTCCCTTCTGTTTTGCGAGGAAAAGGAGCTGAACACCGTTTGCAGAGGCCACCTTTCTGCGTAGGCGGCCTTCGGCCGCACTTAGGGATTATTACCCTCAGGCAGTAGAATTCTCCTTTCTGTTTTGCGAAGAAAAGGAGCTGAACACCTTTTGCAGAGAACACCTTTCTACGTAGGCGGCCTTCGGCCGCACTTAGGGATTATAACCCTCAGGCAGTAGAGTTCTCCTTTCTGTTTTGCGAAGAAAAGGAGCTGAACACCGTTTGCAGAGAACACCTTTCTGCGTAGGCGGCCTTCGGCCGCACTTAGGGATTATAACCCTCAGGCAGTAGAATTCTCCTTTATGTTTTGCGAAGAAAAGGAGCTGAATACCTTTTGCAGAGAACACCTTTCTACATAGGCGGCCTTCTGCCGTACTTGGGATTATAACCCTCAGGCAAAAGAATTCTCCTTTTTGTTTTGCGAAGAAAATGAGCTGAACACCTTTTGCAGAGAACACCTTTCTGCGTAAGCGGCCTTCGACCGAACTTAAAGCAAGCAAATCGGGCGGGACCAACCAACACCGCCTACGTCATGGGCAATATTTTTGCAGAGGGGTTCGAACCCTCATTGATAATAATACACGCCCGGAATAAAAGTAGCGGTAAATTTACATTTTCTTTTGTATTGATTTCCCCTGTATTCCTTTTTAAACATTGCCTTCTTTGTATGTATTATTTTGTACAATATGGCAACACATGTTATGTGTCAGTTTGCAACCATGTGTTATTGTAAATATGGGTGCAATTCAATGTAATTTACAAGTCTACAAAAGTTGAATTAAAGTGATTTATATGCAAGATAAAATAAAATAAAAGTGTGTAAAGTATTAGGTACAGTGTTATGTGCATTTATATATATGAAAGTATATCGACGTGGATTTCCTACTTGGGCGAGGCATGAAGATTGACCTCCAGGGAATGATCCTAACCTATGGCGACAGGAAAGTGCCGCTTAGGGTTGGTTACGACAACCAGTGCTTCAGCAGACGGTTGGTCGTACAGGAAGTGCCGAAAATTCCACCAGAAACGGAAGTGGTTAGTTGGGCAGAGGTTGACAGTGATGGAGACGAAATGGTTTCGTCAGGAGAAGGAAGTGGTTCACCGATACAGGAAAAGCGTGACGGTTCCGCCGGCTCAGTGAAGATGTCGCAACAAGGAAGTGGTCATGGCGAGCCAGACAGTGTTTCCGACAGGAGGAAAGCCACTGAACCACGTTGCAATGGTGATACGCCGGTGGCCGAAAATGGAAGCGGCTGTGGAAGCAGTAGGCGCGCTTTGAAGTGTCCCGAAAAAGGTGGTCGGCAAAGACGAGCAGTTAAGGCGGAAGCCAAGGTTGAGATTATACATGTCCGGTCAATGAGGTTGACGCCGGCGAAAGAGCGAGATGCGGAAACACTGGGCACGTTTCAGCGTGAGGAACCGGATTTAGCAAGATGTCCTAAAGGCGGCATAGATCTGGCAAAAAGGGTGCCCACGAGAGGAGACATGGTCTGGTCACCACCAGTGGCCGGCAGAAGCACGATCATGTGAGATAGTGCACCACCGGAGATAAGCTGGAAGCAATGTCCAGTAACGCATCGAGCCGAGAGGAGCTACAGGAAGGCGATTTGGTGTTGTTGCACATGCCACAGCCGAAGAAAGGCTTCACCTCCGAACAACATCGTAACTGGAAACGTCCGTATAGGATTGACAAACGGCTGATGGACGCAGTGCATCGAATCCAGACAGCTGGGAGACCGAGAACTAAGATGAAAGACTTGCAGCGGTTGGAGCGGCAAGTGTGTCTGATCGGGACGATCAGACTTAGGTGGAGGGCAGTGTGGCGAATACTGCGGCAACGCGAAGCGAACAACGAGAAATAGGCAGAATGTTCGAAGAATGACGTAGAATGTTCCACGAAGAGAAACGTCAAGTTGGATGAACACTGCGAACAGCGAGAGAAAGAGAATGAGCGATAAACTTCAGAACGTTCTAGAGTTGCCATAAGTGCGAGCGCAGGTATATAAAGGCGCCGTCACAGCGAAGTGAGCGAGTTATAAGTCAGCAAGCTACAAGTAAAGTGAGCAGAGAAGTGAGTTGCGAATAAGCAAGCTATAAGTTTAATTGTGTTAACAAGTTTAGTAAGGCGTTGTTATTGCTTTAACAAGTATTGTTAAGTGTTTTTACTGTATTAGCGAGTATTGTAAATTGTTTGTTGTACAATAAAGTTAATTGTACTACAATTTGGTCATCGTGAGCATTTATTTAACAATCCAGCGATACGAGCCTCAAGTTATTTGGGAAATCCCTCAAGGTTTCGAGGATAATCGTAACAATATGCAACCAAAGTCAAACGGGTGATTTTGAAGGTGTTTTTATTTAATTAATTGTGATTAATTGGTTAATATTAAAGTCGTAAAGCAAGTTATAACTAATCGAGTAAAGTGTAAAGTGAAGGGGAATACAAAAATGTATTGGTGAAGTGGCTGCTTTAAAGAGAATATGACTGGTAAATGTACGCTAATTTCTGAATTTTACAAAAAAGGGCATATTTCAAACCAATTTGTAAATAAACTAGTGGCCGAAAATTACAAAAGTGAGTGTTAAAATAATGCGTAGACCTTTGACTACAAGTGCGTGGAAATGTTTTTGGAACGGGCCACCCCTTTGGACGGAATAGCCCGAAATAGTTGTGAGCGCTACTAAACCCCACCCTTTCAAATTTCCGAGCACTAGTTAATTAAATAATTATGCAGTTTTTTGTAAACTTTGATGTTGGTTCTGCCCCTACTCTTTCCGCGAATTCCTTTGCCTATGTCCTCATTCTCCTGCATTAGCTCGACCAACCACGCAAGTTACCTTTGGTTGCTCACAATATTTGACCTGCAATTCAGACACATACATATGTATATATATTCCACAATTTTTTACAACTTCCAGTTCAATTGACTTACTTTTTATCCATTATACTACCACTTTCTTGTGTAAAATTTATAAACGCAAACTCCAACGACTAAAAAACAGCAATAGAAGGATGAGCGATTATGACGTATTCACAGTCGCTAATTGAGCGACTAAGCGACACTCACAATAGCATCGATGATCGATAATCGCTTAATATTCGATTATCTACTAGCAGTCGACATTCGCAATAGGGGTGGTAAAGTAACTTTCGAAAGCAGTTTTTAATTTCGAAAATTTAACTTTCCGGTACTACTTTTGGCCTGTTTACCGGCCTGAGTGCTGAAATTTCCTTATTCAACTATGTTACAGGACGTTTTTATGTTTGATAAATTTAAATGGTCCATATCAGGAGAATAAATTAATTAGAAGTATATTTTTAAATGTGTTATGACATTTTTATAATTTTATTCAAATTTGGTAAAAATCGTGTCATATGGCAACACTCGATTGCCCGTGACAGCTCTTGCAGTACAAATAAAAATTGCAGTTGCAGTTTTACCTCGCAATTTTTATTTCCAAAAGTGATTTCTACAAAAAGGACTTTTTTGCTGCTTATACAGAAAAGTAAACTTTCTATTTCCCATTTTGGCGGCAAACTACGTAGAAAAAGCGCTTGCATTGCCACGTCTTACAGCACAGTGGCATACCTAAATAATAGGGGCCGGTGATCTAGAAAAAAAGAAAAAATGGACATGGTAAGCCCCTTATTCCTGATTTTATTAATAGTGCCAGGTTGACCGAGCTTTGTCCGGTG